TATTCATCGGCGTTTTACACCGTTAACCACTTGGACATCTATAGATATGTTTATTATACATATATGTTTTGGTGAAGCCCTCTTTTCTTTGATGAAAAAAAAAACAACAAAAACAGCCACATCGTTTCACCAGAGTATGCCGGTTTGAATCAAACAAATTATAGCGTGCAAACCATTGAGTGCAGCTGTTTGTTGCTTCAAAGAATCGTTTACGACCAAATGGAAGAAAAATTGTCAAACAAATAACCAGCACCTATACTCAAGGATTTTCGTTGGGAAAATATAGATTGTACTAAATATCAGCTCATATATCAGCTCTCCGATTTTTAATTTAACTCAGTTTGATTGGTTACCCGCTCATCTTCGGGAAATGTAGTGACGCGCAACTAATCAGGGGGTGTTCTTCTTTTCAACAGCCTCTTCAGGCAGGTGTCTTCTTGCCCTTTTCCCGTCCCCTACTTCCACCGTTCACTCTAACTCAAAATCAAACATGGCTGGTCGGAAAACCGATCGCGAGCTTATAACGTTCGCTCGCCCTAATAAGACGTCTGCACTGCGGGCTAGGCTCATTCTGATTCTTGATACCGTAGAGTTTCCTCTTTAACAAAGGGCTTTACGAAACTTCATGAGAGATATCTCCCAAAATTTCCGTTGATAACAAGACAGCGTCGACTAAATAAATAAATTTTCTAGATTTTAGTTAGAAACCATCGATGAGTTTGAAAGTTAAACAGCCTTTAAATAGTCGTAAGAGAAAAGGTTAAAAATGGAAAGTGTTGTCTTACACCATTTGCTATTTGCATATCATTTCTAATTGAAACTCAAATAACCTCCTCGTTTACCAACTGCTGGGAATCATCTTACGTCTGACGCGTTTTCCGTGAATAATGATGATGAACTTCGGAATGATGATTGCAGGATTGAAAGCATTTCAATAGTATAGAGCACAGTTATTTCTACATATATTTTGAGGTATTTGTTTATTTCATTACTTTGTACTCGCTTCAAAACATATAGTGTTCACCGGTTCGGAAAACAAGTTCTGAATATTTGAAAACGCGGCTTTATTCACGCATTTTTCTGACATTTTCCAACGAGAGAATCAACGTTTTCCCGTTCCTTTCGAGTCGGCGAATTGGAGTATTCGTTCCATTATCCAGCAGTTTTCTTTGACAGTTAACTCTACGAAAACGATTGTTTTCCTGGTGTTAAGAATGCGGTGTCAGATGGGAAAACGGTTTGTATTCGTTGCTTACTTGTGTTTTCCAGTAGCAGAAGATTGCTTTCACAGAAGTTTCCGTCGGAAACAGAGCGTTTTCTTCCATTTTCCTAGAACAGGAAAATGCGTAGAAAACGCTTGGAAATTACGTGTCGTCCAACGTTCACGGGTTGGTCAACGTAAAGAAATGCGATGTTTTCTGGCGTTTTTCAGCTGTTGGCGTTGAGAAAACGCGTTGTTATCGGCGATTCACCGAATACAGTTATTCCCACGCATTTTCAAGTATTTGCCGTTCGATTATCGTGCGAAAAAGGGTATTTATTCCTATATTTATCGGTGTTTTACACCGTTAACCACTTGGATATCTATAGATATGTTTAATATAAATATATGTTTTGGTGAAGCCCTTTTTTCTTTGATGAAAAAGAAAACAAAAAAAAACAACAACAACAACAAACAAATTATGGCGTGCAAACCATTGAATGCAGTTGTTTGTTGCTTCAAAGTATCGTTTACGATCAAATGGAAGAAAAGTTGTCAAACAAATTGCCAGCAGCTATACTCAAGGATTTTCGTTTGGAAAATATAGATTGTACTAAATATCAGCTCATAGTTGTGACTGCAGATGAGATTTTGTCGAAGACATTCTTTTCTAGCTGAAAATAAAAAACTTCCTCACCGTTTAACTCATCGGCTCTACACGTGTTTGTTTTTGTCGGAAGACAATGCTTCCGATTTTTAATTTAACTTAGTTTGATTGGTTACCCGCTCATCTTCGGGAAATGTAGTGACACGCAACTAATCAGCGGGTGTTCTTCTTTTCAACAGCCTCTACAGGCAGGTGTCTTCTTGCCCTTTCCCCGCCCCCTACTTCCACCGTCCACTCTAACTCCAAACCAAACATGGCTGGTCTGATAAACGATCGCGAGCTTATAACGTTAGCTTTCTCTAGGAAGACGCCTGCACTGCAGGCTAGGCTCATTCTGATTCTTGATACCGTAGAGTTTCCTCTTTAACAAAAGGCTTCTCGAAACTTCATGAGAGATATCTCCCAAAATTTCCGTTTATAACAAGACAGCGTCGACTAATAAATTTTCCAGATTTTAGTTAGAAACCATCGATGAGTTTGAAAGTTAAACAGCCTTTAAATAGTCGTAAGGGAAAAAGTTAAAAATGGATAGTGTTGTCTTACACCATTTGTTATCTGCATATCATTTCTAATTGAAACTTAAATAATCTCCTCGTTTACCAACTGTTCGGAATCATCTTACGTCTGACGCGTTTTCCGTGAAATGATGAGCTTCGGAATGATGATTACAGGATTGAAAGCATTTCAATATCGTAGAGAACAGGTATTTCTACATTTATTTTGAGATATTTATTTACAAAATTGTATGTCTAACTTTTGGAAAACATATAGTGTCCGCTTTATTTCGGTCAATAAAATGAAACTACTGAATGATAAAAACAAATTTTTTACAAAAATGACTGTAACAACATCTGTTTACCACTTGAGGTGGATCTGTAAAATTGCAAATATGTTGAAATTCGTAGACGTGAAATTTGGATAGTTATATTGGGACTTAAAAAGCCAGTTATAAAAAAGCTATTTCATATATCATCAACTTCAACATTTAGAGCCGTTTTCTTAATTTTGATAAATATTACGAAAATACTCAACAATTCACTAGGCTCAAATATTGAAGTTTGAAAAATTCTTTTCTTTTCAATTCTACTTTTGTAGTTGAACTTATGGGACATTATATTCTTAATGTGGAACACATTTATTTGCTTCTTACGGCCCTACAATTTTCTGTTTGCATTACCGTCACAAATAGTGATGTTTTTATTGGCACTGTGCAGATACGATGAACATTTAAAAAGTTCTTTTGAAATTCCTAAATACCACGGGAGTATTCCCCTTTTGTTGTATGACCATAGACGATGGAAAAAAAAACCATAATGATACTCGTTAATCAATCGGCTATCCTCTTCCCAACTTAAAACGATCGAAAAATTAATTAAGGAAATCCTGAATAAGTATCGGTTCATTAAAACGATGGCATTATAAAGTATAACATAAATGGGCTTGTTCATGTTCGAACACTGACTCATATTATGGCGTTGATCATCTTTCAGTAACATATTTCTCTGAAGAGCCCGCGCTATTTGTTGAGATCACAACAAAACTTCAAGTGTGTAAGCAAGGGAGGTTTTCCAGTAGTTCCTTTCTTCGGCAGTTTTTACCATGCATATTGCAACCATAAGACTAGCACTATGTCTCTTCATTTGTTCCGATTTACGACCTGCCAGCAGCCAAAAGCCCCGAATTGATTCAAATGATCAATCGGAATTAGTGCCCAAAGCCCGTGATATCAGGCAACATCGTCAAATTCGCCAAACGCTTTTTTATTCTTGCAGAAAATGGCAACCTAATTTCCAATATTTATGTTGATATTGTTATTTGGAATTTTTTTTTTTTTTAAAATGGACTCTCCTAAAATTAACGAAACCTGTCCCAAATTCAGAATTTTTATGACTTATTTTGAATTGCCAATGAGATCCTGTTATGTAACAGAATTTAAACATGAGAAGAAGTAGAAGTAGTGATAGTTCAATAATTTCTTGGCTTTGCCAACGCCAGCTGCAAGCACATTTATTTGCCTGGCTCTGAATATTTCCCATAATGATTATTAATGTTAGAAAAAAAATTACATTGACGCGGTGTTTTTGTTCACAATGAGAAGTTATTTATAATCCTGGCATAGCCATCCTTGCAGATTTTGTAGAACACAAATTAATGTGCCAAAATTGCCGTTATGTTCTTCGACACACAAAAGCGGAGTCGAAGAAAAACCATACTTTATCAAAAGATCTCATATAAAAAGAGCTAATGAAGGATTATTTTTAAAATTATTATTTTCTAGCCCAAAATTTTGATAATCAAGCCCTTAAACTGCATCTGCCACAATTACAAATTTTTTTGGTCTGAAGATTCAGAGTTAAGTTTTCTTTTTCACCACGTGTCAGTTTGGGAAAAAGGGATCTACTTTTAAACTGAAGACGTAAAGTATTTTTCTAAAAGCCTTCTTGATGACACAGGCCCTGACAAAAAACAGTTATTGCCAACCGCCAAGCGCAATTCAAAATTCATAACGTGTCCATCTTTTGAACTTCTTGATGGGAGGGAATCAAAATTTGTCAGTATGTTTCTAGCCGCCTTGTCTGTTTTTGGCTTAAGTGTCAGCTTTTAATTAGTAACTTTGATTATACTACCCCGCACTTACACTTACACTTGTTGGTGTAAATTCTGTAAGCACACTAACTTACAACGGCACGCTGTGTGGTAATAGATACATCGTAATGGGGGGTTTTTGGAAATTGAGACAAAAAAAGCGTTCCGTGAAGGTAGCTGGCAATAGCCAGGAGAGCAGATCGCTACCTCAATGAGAACTCCAGAACTTTTTGTCCATAAAAAACTTCTTCGAGTCCTTTGAGAAGGTCAAAATCATATTTTCGTTCCATTCTTTTCAAGTGCATGATGTCTTCTTCGTGAATGTTCTCATGTAAGTGTAATGGAAGTCATATTGAGATCTGGTCTTGTATTGCACCCATGCAGTATAAAACAACAAGCTTGCAAACAGATAACATATTATTCTGACTTTTGCATCTGTGGTTTTTTTGTTTATTTGTTTTTTTGTTGGTTAGATCTGAACACAACTTGAAGTCTGGTAGCCTCAGGGGAGGTTTCTAACCATATCATATCTTGGCGGTGTTAACGATGCATGTTACAACTCTGAGGTTGGTCGTATGTCTAATGGTTTGCTGCGATTTATGGCCTGTCAGCAGCCAAAAGCTTGATTCAATCGATCAATCGGAATTAGTGCGCAAAGCCCGTGAAATCAGGCAACATCTTCAAGTTCGCCAAACGCGTCAACTTCGTCAGGAACAAGATAAAGAAACAAAATGCAAATTCAAATTTGCCTTGCTAGATTTTCCTCCTTACATTATGAACCAAAGTATTAACCGAGGATTTATGTATCAAACCCTAACATGGTTTGTGGACATAGCTTGCTTTGGTAGAGAAGCAACAGACCTCATAGCTTGCAAAATGGAGCCAGTATTTGTTCAAAATCAAGAAGAGATGGTGAAGTTGATTAAAAATGGGTCGGTTCATTTTGGTTTTCCAATTCTATCGGATGCAAAACAAAAACTTACGAGTCTAGACAGTGTGACACTCATCCGAGCATTTGTATCATTCGGGTGTTCAATGATTGTGAACTTAAAGCAGTGCAAAGCAGAGTCACGGGAACAGTTACTGACTTCTATTACGTCACAATGGCCGATATTGGCTTCTATCATGTTACTGTCAGGGATATCTGGAGTGATTATTTGGCTCTTGGTAAGAGTTAAGGCTTATAATCGTCAATCTATACTAAGCCTCTAAAGCTCTGTAGTCTTAATCCTACTTAAGGTTACATTCAAACTTAGTTGTGACGACTTTAGCATGAAAATAGTTTGAGTAGGAATCGACGGCACCATTTTTGAGTAAACGGTTAGTTAGGCACACCTTATGACCTCACCGAAATAAAAAGCCAAACTAAAATGCCCTACAATTCATGAAGCTACAAATAATGTTTGTTTGTTTGTAGGTGAAAAAAGACCGTTGCAATGACTCAAACTATCATATAAGAACATTTTATTCCAAGATGCCACAATTTCAGATACAGTAAAACTGCTGCAAACTTTGTGCGTTGTAGTAAGGCCTTTAGTAAGCTTGAAGTTTTTTCTAATCAATTTTATTTACTCCACACTAAACGTCACCTTAATATTAGTTTTTTTATATAGTATTAATTCATTAAACAATTATACCAATTTTCATGACAGGAACACCGTTCAAACGCGGCTCAGTTTTCACCATCGTTCACGATAGGATCACCAGAAGGCTTTTGGTGGGCAGTGGTATCACTTACAACAGTAGGGTAAGTTGATTTAGATTTGGGTATCAGGGGGATCTTTTTTTCACTGCGCCCTTTGAATACGATCAAAGATAGGCAATATTGTAAAACCCATTTTTTTGTCGAAGTTAACACATGCTTTGGGTTTGTCAAAATCTCTACCAGGGTTCCATTCTTGAATTGGCTTCAAGTCTTACAAATTACTAGTTGTTACGTGGTATCGGGGTCCTCTCGTTCAAAGCTCTTCACAGCTTATAAACCAAAATGAATAGTAGCAAATAAAAGAAAAATAAATTTCCATTGAATATATTAAAACTATGTATCAGGTTTTTTCTTTTTTTTTTTTTTTGACATGGTGGATAGTGTAAGGAGAGGAGGGCGGGAAGGGGAATGAGATTCGTCAAATTTAGATGGAGTCATAATTCTTAGCTTAAACGCACATACTCTGATTAGTTTCAATTTAGTTGATTGTGATCATTATCGATGGGGCAGGGTATTTATTATGGTACAGGAGAGAGGCAGTGTGGGCTAGTGGTTGGAGTGCTGCATTTGTAATCTGGGGGTCCCAGGTCTAGGCCCTCCACCCTCCGCTACTCACCGGGTTTGTTTACGGTTGCCACGAGTTTAAGAGTTCAACTCCTCGGCTGCGCTCTGTATCTAGCCAAATGCTCAGCCTCCTTCCAGTTGGGATTTTCATTCATTCTCTAATTTATAAATTCATTAATTTGTACTGATCCTGAAAAGCCTCATCGGGGAAGTGGTCAATTAAGTAGACATTAAGAATTTTTATACTTACTACACTATCCTCAAAGCGCAAAGATATTTGGTTCCTATTTTCTCATTAGGTACGGTGATAAGACGCCTAAAACCCTCTGTGGACGTGCATTTGGTATAATGTGGATCCTGATAGGAGCAATGATGTTGTCGCTGTTCACCGCCTTATTTACAAATGCTATGCAAGCTTCCCTGAATGGTACGAGATGTAGGGACATTGGTGGCAAAAAGGTTAGTAACCCTAACATGAACGCCTAAAACCCTTTGCACCCAAACATCATTATGCCCCTTTCTCCATACTTTTCTCTATACATTTCTTAAGGTGCTAGAAAAAATTGTCTTTTTAACAATCAAGAGCTTCTTTATTTGGTGATCATTTCTTTTATTCTCGTGACCTTAATGTTTGATTCAGGTGTGATATTGTAAGGAGATATATTAGTTAGTTATTTTCTTTGTTTTAAATTAGATTCCCTACATTTTTAAATTTATCTTAACCCAAGCTTCGAAAGGTTTTCCCCTGAAAAAGTTATATTGCCAATTAATGAAATCCTACCCTCATCCATCGAACTCAGGAACAACTCAAATGCAACTCGGCCCTGTGACTCAAACCTTTAAGTCACAAGGCCGAGTTATTAAAAGCAGGATCAGATAATTCAGGAGTAATGTGAAATCTTATTTAAGATCTGAAAGCTGTAAAAGAAAATTCAGCATAATTCTTTTTGTCGGCACTTATAAGATACTCTTAGAAAAAAATAGAGAAAGTTATTCGAAAGAATAAAAGACACCCGCATGAAATTAGACCCGGATTAGCGCTACTCAGACTTTGGACAGCTGGGCTAGGAATTATGAGCTACCTGAGTCCGAGTTAGCAAACCGTATGGAAGAATGAAATTAACATTAAACAATTTTAATTGATTGTCGAAATGGAAAATTGCTCTGGTTTTGTACAACTTCGGATATTATTGGCCCTTTCAACAAAAATGCCTTCACTGTTCCTATTATTTAGGCTGGGTCTCTCTGGAACTACAACTAAAATGTACTTTCGTTGTACAGACTTTTCATATTCTTTGCAAGAGGAAAGTACTTATCATTTGGCACTAAGCCTTTATAGATTGTGCTAGTAAAAGTAACATATTATACTAGTGGTATTGCTCGATCATTTTTCAAATGGTGCACAAAATTACGCTCGTTTTGAAAATTATGCTACTTTTTATTTAAGTGTGCTTTACAAAAAAAAGAGAAACAAACGAAGTCCAAATTATATATTTGGCGTCAATTAAGCATGAAATCTTCTCTATTTTGAAAAACATACTCTGACAAAACAAAAATTAACATTGGATTCCAGACGAGAAGCAGTGACTTGACGAGTCAAAATGTAAGTTTCTCTTTGGCGCCATTTTTTGCCTGTGAAAGCGGGAACTATAAACGATGCAATCTTTACTACGGATGTGCCCAGTCCTCTAGACAACAAACGATTCTATACTACGGTAACCCTCTTCTTCCAGCGCATTGAAAACCTGAAAATAGACATGAACCATGGACCGAATTCGAAAATAATCGATCTTGGAGACCAAGACAAGTCAAGACTCTGGTATAGTTTCCCTCAAAATAAGAACAAATATCCTTATTAGGCTTGCAACGCTACTTTCATAATAAAAAGCAAAAATTGTGCTTGTTTTAAAAATTTAGGTAACAAGTTTGGCCAGAGCAATCTATAAGGGCCCAACTGGCGTATAAAAAATTGTCTGACCCCAATTTACTTGTTAGGTGGGTGTGTCCAACAAGAATCCTGAAACGCATGTAGTCGCTATGGAGCTGGATGCAGACTTTGTCAGTAAGTAATTCTTTTCAGGTTAATTTCAATGTCTTTGTATAACGTGTTGCATGACCATTTTTCTTCAGGAACGACTACTAAAGTAAAAAAATAAGCTTGAAAATTACCTTTTAATTTCAGTCATATTTCGTATATTTTTGTATCAAAACTCTAAGGAGAAATTTCTCCCCCGCTTTTTCGCATTTTACTCATTAAGAATTTGCGTTGGAGAACTAATCAAATGAATTTTTAATTAACAGAGTTCAACAACCTAGATGAAATGCAAGAAAGTCTTAGCCAAGGAACAATTGGAAGAGTAATGGTGGATCGCAACACTGCATTTCACTTTTTGGATAAATCTGGTTTAAAACGAAACAGGCAGATCCGAATGATTCGTAACATCGATTATCCAATGGAATATTACCTGGCTCACGTGAGCCATGACGTAATGGCGTCACCGAATGACACGAACGAAGTATTGGCTAGAAAAACTGAGCTTTCGGTTTGCGGGGAAAGCCTGAAAGAGTTATCAGCGGATTTGGTTGCAGTTGCAAAAGACACTGCCAGAGAGCAACTTATCCCTGTCGAATTACAGGTAGTTAATTGTTTTTTGTGAATTTTATATATTTCACCACGCACCATTCTTCTCTTTATATTTAGCATTTATTCCGATGCAATCAACAGTTTGAAAGCTATTTATTTCTTTGTAGACAGCGGATTTGTCCGATGAAATGGAAGGGTTATTCTCCACTGGCTCACAAATGACCAAATTTATTCTATTTGCCTTATTGGGAATACTTGCTTTCCTAATAATCATCAGCAAATTTTGGGAAGTCTACCTCAACTGTAAGCCAACGGTACACAAGAAGAGAAAAGGTAACTGCTTCTTAAATTAATTCACCATAGAGTCCTGCAGAGTAAATATAAAACAGATACCTTTTGAAGAAAACTGCTCTATCTTAATTAGTATAAATCGTGGTATTGGTGTGATTCTATATTTTTAAATTCAGATGGCAATCAAAGGCAATGAGACAGTCACTCGTCATTCAGTTGGTCAGTCTGTCAGTTAGTTAGTCAGGCAGTCAGTCAGTCAGGCAGCCAGTCAGTCAGGTAGTCAGTTAGTCAGTCTGTCGGTCAGTCATCCAATCAGCCAGTTAGTTAGTCGGTTAGCACTTCCCTCGGATTTTAATCAGAAATGTGAAAACCTTCGTTACATGAAATAGTTCAATACTTATTGGAAGGTCTGTCAGTCAATTAATAAGTAATTATGTCAGTCCATTTGTCAGTGAAAAAATAGTCATTCATTCAAACGATTAATGACCGAATCAAATATTGACTATTTGTGTACTGACAAACGGAAAGACAAAAGTAATATATTCAGGGATTAATTCAGTGGTTCATTTCTTTAAATGTCCTCTACAATCCTTCTTCTAGGAATGATTCCTAGCAGCAGGAAGATGTCAATGATGCAAAACTTCCTGGATTTGGAGGAAGGACTAAAAGACATAACGTCTGATCTACAAAAAATAAAAGAGGAATTTGAAGGTGCCGCGAACGGTTTGTCTCCGGAATACTCAAGAACAAAAGAACGCTCATTTTTTAATAATATGCTTGATCTGAATGGAAAGAATAAAAATACTGAAACAATAGTATAACACAGAAAACATTTTGTCATTAGTAAACTCAGATAGCATTTTACTCTTCTGAGATTTCCATGGCTAGTGGCATATTTTTACCTTGAGCAAAAAAAAGAGGTTGAATGTGTCACACAGAATAGGACACGTAACTGACTTCTTGTTTATTATGAATTGTATTGAATTATTTTCCTTCCTTTTTCCTATATCCTTTTTAATTTCCTTACTTTCGTTATTGAGGCCAACAAACCAATACGCGAGTGAACCAAGAAGGTTTATAAATTTTTCTCATTCCATTGCAATCAGCTTTGGCTGTCTATTGATGAAATAGCTTGCCCTGTTAACTACAGACTCTACCTCGTCCGTCCTAACGGATGAACAGAATCGAGCGTTAAGAATGATTACTTCGGTATTTGCACTGAGTGCGTAACTTCTGGGTTTGTTTGTTTACACTCTATGGAATTAAATTTTCACAAGTACTAGAAAAAAGCAAGCTTTTGAGAATGGGTGGTGCAAATTGGAAGTATAAATGAAGAATTCCTTTCTTTATTAATTATTTAAGGAAGAACTTATCATAGAAGATATAATATAACAATAATTGTTTCTTGACTTCTCTTCGCTTCGTTAGACGAATGCAAGTGTAATTTCTAGCTGGTCACTTTCTCAGTTTCTTTCGCAAAAAACATGAGATTTTATAACATTTCAGGAGACTTTTGGAACCGCTAGCTTTTAAGATTATGGAGGGCAGATGCACGTGGTCACCACAGACTGTCGGTTAAAAGTTAATCGTTTCGAAACGTCCTTAATCCTCAAATCCTTACAATTTAATCAAAGTTTTATAGATATTGTATATAACCAATAGATATGTGTACTTAAAGCATGCATAAGAAACACTGATTATAGGAGAATAACGGCCAGTCAAGGACCGTTATTCATTTACAGGTAATAAACTCCAATCCAGGTGATGTCTGTCTGAGAAATGCATTCCCTTCTGCACTTGAATCTTGCACCGTAGTCACTAGTTTTGTTTTTGTGTATCTATAAATATATTTTTAAATTCAGGCAAGACTGTATCTAGAAGCGTTATAAATGCTATAAGTAAAAGCTAAATGATGTTTACAACTTGTACAATAATTAATGGAATCTTTACTTTTAGCGATCAAGAAATATACTGATCGATGTATAGTTATAATTGCAGGTGGAAAAAAAAAAAAAAAAAAAAAAAAGCTTATTTAGACGTTAGATCACATAGTGTCCACAGCGAATTATTTTAGGGACCTTACTCGCACACCAGGTGATTGGTTCCCTTGACTAAGAATTTTTAGGTTCGCTCTTTTACCATGAACAGATTAATCATGTCACGGCAAGCAATTACAGGAATGGGCTGAAAAATTAGAAGAAAAAGATGACGAATCTTAAATCTTGGCCGAAAAATTAGTTACAAGAAGGAACGAAAAAAGAAAATCATAACTTTACCGTCTTGGCACAACCTTTAGTTTTAATTTAGTTTTACTTCCTTCGTGAAAATAACCGCGGCAGTAGAACATACTCACATATAATAGCTTCTACTACAGCATTAGAATGGAAAGGTTTATTATACAGACCAGATTTTAAGTCTAATAAACAAACCTATTATACAAAATAAAATTACAAAATTGTGTCTTGACTATAAAATCGTCTCTGCTTGATGGATTACAATTATGTTACCAACGTTTTTGAGAGTATGAGGCGTTGCAGTGCGCCGTGCAAGGCAAGCTCCGCTATTACACAATTATCTAGTTGCAAAGTGAACTGAAAAATATAGTATGTATCGGTTAAACGAACAAAAAATAGTTAATAAATGACGAGTTCGATTCATCAACTGAGAAAAAATCATTTAAGTAATGAAATTTTTAAATAATATCAAGTGATCTTATGTAGACTAATTTACAATAACAAAACTAATAACTCTGCTCGTTGATTGGCCCAGAAAACTTGAGCTATCCTCTCAACCTAGCGGATGCGAAACTAATAACAATTGCAACTTGCTCATTGGCATTTTTACTGCTCTTGAAGCAGTTTGCTTGTTTTCTCTTTGAGTTCTCTTTGGCTAATGATAATGTAAACTGTTCTTCTGATTGGTTGTTTTGATAACTTTTGTTTTGTTTTCCAACTCTCAAAAGATAACTCTTCTATGTACAAAGTATCAATCACGAGAGTCGACAGTTGATTTTGTTAAGGATACAGCAAAAATCCCTGGCCATAAAATAATTTTACAAGATTAAAACTGGCCTTCCTTGGCTCCATAGTCGAGCAAATTGACTCACTCAGCAGGAACTTATCCTTGTTTCACTTCAGCATAAAGAGGAGTATAACTATTCCCCCCCGCCCCCCACCCCCCCGATGAGTTGCCAGTCCATCGCAAGGTCACCCCCAGCATTTCATCAGTCTTCCCTGACAATCTGTTGGTACTCGTTTATACTCCTAGGTGGGAAATGGCATGGGAGAGAAAAGTGTCTTGCCCAAGAACACAACCCTTTGACCCCGTCAGGTCTCGAACCCAGACCTCTCGATCCAGAGTACAGTGCACTGACCATGCATTAGGCCGTTGGAAGACGTCTAAGGCGAAGTGGGGACAGAGTAGAAGCACAGAACAAATGAGCAGTCGATCTGTTTCTTTTGCTGACTTTACCTACCTTACCTATGACAATGATTGCAATTTGACCAACGACTATTTAAATTTTTCCTCTTTGCTGTAAAACCTCATTTTTTCAGGCCATGTCAGAGGTAACAAAGGCCTCTGATCTAAAACAGGGATGACTGCAAGACCTTTGATTAGAGAATGATACATGTTAAATGAAACTTATTTTCATAAGACAGGTTTGCATCTTGCCTCACTTGAAAAAAAGGGTTTTTAAAACCAAAAATTGCCTGTAATATGAATGTAAAATGTCTGGTGGCTGTCAAAATGTGACAAATGATATAACGACGAATTCTCCCGTGTAGAAGAACATTAAGATACAATGGTATTATTCAGAATTTACAAACTCAGCTCATAGGAATGAGCTAAAATAAGATAGAGCTATTTAAACGTTACAGTTTCTCGCCTTATTGCAGCAGTGTTTCATGAGGCGCATCGCTTTCCTAGATTAAATCCTTATATTATGAACGGATGTCTCTATCCAGAATTTATGTACCAAACCATTAAATAGTTTGTGGACATGGCTTGATTTATTAGACAAGCAAGCAACCGAATAGCTTGCAATATGGATGCATCTTTGTGCAAAGTCAAGGTGAAATGTTAAATCTGATGAAAACCAAGCAAGTGGATTTCACTTTTCCCTTTCAAGTTGACCATAAGATAGATGATGATGGACTACCTAATGTCACACTGATCCATGCATTTGTGTCATTTGGCAGTTCTCTCGTAGCAAACTTAAAGAAGTGTGAGGTAGAATTAGAGGAACAGCTGTTTGCATCTATTACGTCACAATGGCCAATTCTGGTTTGTATGATGTTACTGCCGGGAGTTTCAGGAATTCTCGTATGGCTTTTGGTAAGAACATGGAATTATGTTGGTTATCCAGCACCACATAGGCTTAGATAGGCCGCACGTGTGGGCGATGGGACACGACAGAATTCTGAGATGCCTGGAGGTTTTAGGAAAACTCTTATGAATTTTGTTTTACTGGTCATGATAATGTACATCAGACCTCTTGATAGAATGGAGTTAATGCAGCATTTTCTTCCTGTTCTTTTTTATGAACGATATCCAAGTGATCCGGGAGAAACAATTTATTTTGGGATAGCTCCAGGTTAAAACACCGTAACATTTTTTTGCAGGCTGTAAAAGTAGACTTTTCCTTCCTGATTGCAGGAACGCAGAGTTAACAAAGACCAGTTTTCACCTTATTTTACGGCTGATGTACCCTAAAGGATTTTGGTGGGCCGTGCCCTCCCTTACAACACTGGGGTATTTCAATTCTGTTTAAGATAACTGCATTTGCAACTAAACGTATTTCTAAGTTTTAAACTTTAGTTGCAACTTTTTATGATTAATCCTTTCCTATATTAAGTACGGTGACGTAACTCCAAAGTCCTTTCTTTGCCATATATTTGACATTATCTGGGTTCTGGTGGGAGCAATTATGATGTCATTGTTCACAGGCTTAATAATCAGTGCCATGCAAGCCTCCCTTGATGGCACAAAATACAAAGATATCGCTGGTAAAGAGGTGCATATAAAGTCATCTTAAGTGTTGCCAAAAAGAAGACGGATCTGTCCTTTAGTTTTAATTTGAAAACAAAACTGTTTTTATAAATGTACCTTTTTTAGTCCTCTCTGAGTTCTAAGTACATGTAGCAGAAATCAACTCCCCATAGTTTTTGGTATTAATGCAAATTATTTACTTTTCATATCAGGTCGGTGTCTTAGCTCCTTTTCTCACAACCCAAAAAGTTGCTGAAGAGTTTGATGCAAAGATCATCAGTAAGTGAGAATTCATTTATGGTAACAATGAGCTGTAATGCCACAAATCATAGCAATAAGATGAAATGGCAACAAGTTAATATCATTTTTGGTAACACTAAAACTTCCTCAACAAGGTAAGAACTTTATTCTCGTCTTGGCTGCCTATATACTGAATGTGCTAAAAAAAACAAAGCAATGAAAATTTGATAAATGATAACCATGTGGAGAAAAAACCTGAAGCCGGCAAAAAATTTAATGGTGGTCATTTGGCATACAGTTTTGAAGTGCACAAGTATTTAGAGGACACCAGGTATAAGAATTACGGTAAAGGCTACGTTTAACAAGACAGAGTTGTCGGAATTTCTACTTCAATAAAGTTCTCACATCCTTTATTACCATTGTGAATATTATTATCAACAATCAGGTGATCAATACTAGCTGCACAACATGAACGGAGTTAGTTTTCATCAACAAAGGACTTTAGCTCTTTAAACCCATTAACCTACGTTCCCATACTGATTTGATCAAGGAACTTCTAATCTACAGACTTTGAATCTCTTCAAGAAATGCAAAAAAATCTTAGCCAAGGAGCAATTGGAAGAGTATCGTTGGATCATAACACTACATTGTACTTTCTGGATAAATTTGTCTCGCAACAAAGCGAACAAATTCGAATGATACGTAACATCAATTATCCAATGGAGTATTATCAGGCGCCTGTAAGCCATGACGTCACACCACCACCAACAAGGTCACCAAATGGATCCAATGACTCCGAGGAGCAACGATTTAAAAGGAAACAAGACCTTTCCAGGTGCGGGAAGAATTTAAAAGATTTATTCATAGACCTGGTCTCGGTTGCTAAGGAAACTGCAAAAGAACAACTTATTCCGGCTGAGGTACGTCTAAGTGAAAGTGTATTTACCAGCTGTTCACTTATTTTAACACGCGCAGCCGTTCAGTGCATTTGCCTTGATTTCTTTAGTCTTTTTAAGGCTTAACTTCTCGCAGACAACAGGCTCAGCAAGGGTTAGGGTAAGAAATAGAGGTTTAATTCCACTATCTCAAAAAATACCAAATTCATTTTGACTCACCTTCAAATATTCCTTTCCTCAAGCTCGGGAGTCGATAAACTTTTGGGAGTTTACAGTAACTTAAATGTCAACCTACTTGGGTCAGTATAAATCGAAAGTTTATCGGAAAAGTTTCCGCAGCTGATGATTTTCCAAGTCCTTAGAGGTAAATTAAAAGACTAAATCGTACTAGTGGAGTTAACAATAACAAAACAATTTTCAAAATAACGCCTTGAGGTCATTTTACTCGAGTAGATTACCAATTGTGAAATGTAAATAATAAAAATCACATCTAGGTTATAAAAACGAGTATGTTTTCCTCCACTGAACAATTGTCTGTATCTCTTTTGAATGAAACTTTCAACCTTTTTCAAGAAATTCTAGGACAGAATGACTGAATCATAATATTTCCCTTCTTGAATTATTGATCTTTACAGAGCGCAAACCTGTCCGATGAAATGGAAGGGTTTTTTTCAACCGGCTCGAAAATGACCCTGTGGATGTTGATTTATCTTCTGGTGGTATTTCTCGGGCTGGTGTTTCTCGGTATCTTATGTCAAGTCTACACCAAGTGTTACCTAGCCAGGGTGCACGCAGTAACAGAAGGTATGATTATCATCTATACATAGGCTGATACTGAGTAACATCACTTTTTTTTTTACCCACATAAAGCAAACGCCTCCTCTAAATTGTAAGTTACTAAATCTTGCGACTGAATTGAGCAATTTTACGTTTGCAGCAATCCTAGGTCTTTCGATGGGAATCTCTTATTTCTTCATGAGCAAATGGGCAAGTTTCAGTGACAAGAAAAATCATTGTTCATTGTGAAAATAGGTTTCAAAATTTTTGCTTGTTAGTGGCAGGAAGCGGAAATTGAAAAGACCGCGATTTTTGAATTTTGAAGAATTTAATATCAATATCCTCAAGTTCATTTTCAATCCGTTTAATTTTTGACCCTCAATTGTTTTGTTTTTTCTTTGAAAGAATTGTGATCATGAAGTAACTTCTTTGGCAGCCCATTTAGGCTTACGATCATTTATGCATGATTTAGATAAATTTGTGACTAGCAAAAACATTGGAAGTATAAGTACATTTGTAGATTTTCCACACCGTAATGATGTGTCTGAGAATCTCCGGGACACGCACGTGGCTGATACTATGCAATATGTCAACAATTTGGAGGAGAGACTAAAAGATTCAATTGCAGCGAACGAAAGAAGAGATGAACATGACCATCCCTGGCCGAGAAACCCCGACCTCAAGGAATTAAAAAAAAATCGATGATAAGTCGCATCTGTCAACTGCACATCATTATGGCCACCATCCTTTGTCTACGACCATAATTATATTAAATAAAATTTAAGACCTAGAGCGTTTTTATTCCACCGTTATGATGTTTATTTCCAACAAGATGTGCATCAGAACCTTCTTATTTTTAGTCCAAACTAACTTATCAATTTTCATTCGTATAGCACACTTAGAATTTATCATCAAACACATGTAACATCCATCTTCATATCGTGATCTGGCTATCGTGAGAGCACTGCTCAAGCCCATAACGAGCCAAAGACTATTGTTCAGTTCCTTTCAACGGCTGTTAAACTCAGCTCAGTAGCTATTAAATTAACGATAAGGCAGAGCAAACAGAATCATTTGAATTGACTCTCTAAATAGATTGTTAAAAACTAACCGAGAATTGAGTCTGTATTGCAAGAGCAGACTCGAGAACTTTTGACTGAGGGAGGGGGGGGGGGAAAGGGGTCATACTAAGATTCAGAAAACGATTTTTTTTTACGCTAACGCCAAAATAATCTAAGAACTATTTCAAGATAACTAATTTCAATTACTTCAAGTCGAGAGGTATTTTATCATCTTGTCGTCACACGAATTTTTGTTTCAGACAAGTAGTGGATACACCCACAGGTCTGGTTGGGGAAAGAACACATTTTCATGAAAAAAAGTATTCCATTTCTTGTGAATTTAAAGCAATGTAGGTGTTTATGATGAGAATGTAAGATATGTAATTTTTAAGTAGCAAATTCTCGCAGGTAGGCAGAAGAGTACCTGTATTTATTTATACTAAGATTTGATATTTTCACGTTTCGTCCATGCTTCAGTCTATTTGTAATTTTACAATATTCGAGGGAAGGTTAAAAAGGCTAAAATGGATTGTGTTGTCTTACTTTATATTTTATTTGCATACATTTCTGATTGAAACTTAACTAACTTCTCTGTTTACCAACTGTTAGGAATCATTTTACGTCTGACGCGTTTTCCTTGAATAATGATGATGAACTTCGGAATGATCAAATGCCTTTTTCCTTGCAGGATTAAAAGCATTTCAATTGTATAGAGCACAGTTATTTCTACATATATTTTGAGGTATTTGTTTATTTCATTACTTTGTGTATGTGCTTCACTGCTAAACATATGGTGTTCACCGGCTCGGAAAACAAGTTCTGAATTTTCTGACATTTTCCGACAAGAGAATCCAAAGTTTTCCCGTTGTTTTCCAGTCGACGAATTGAAGTATTCGTTCCATTATCCAGCAGTTTTCCTTTTAAAGAGTGAAGTTAAGAGATGGGAAAACGGTTGGTATTCGTTGCTTATTGATGTTTTCCAGTAACACAAGATTGCTTTCACAGAGGTTTTCCGTAAAGGACAGTGCGTTTCCTTCCATTTTCCGAGGACAGGAAAATGCGTAGAAAACACTTTATAACCACGTGTCGTCCAACGTTCACGGTCATCTTAAAGAAATGCGATGTTTTCTGGCGTTTGTTGGCTGTTTGCGTTGAGAAAGCGTGTTGTTATCGGCGATTCACCACCCGAATGCGGTTATTCTCACGCATTTTTACGTAGCTGCCTATCGATTATCGTGCGAAAAATGGTATTTATTCCCATATTCATCGGTGTGCCCTTTCTTCTTCGATAAAAAAAAAAACAAACAAACAAACAAACAAAAATAGCCACACCATTTCACCAGAGTATGCCGGTTTGCATCAAACAAATTATGGTGTGTAAAACTTTGAGTGCAGTTGTTTGTTGCTTCAAAGTATCGTTTACGATCAAATGGAAGAAAAGTTGTAAAACATTTCTTTTCTAACTCAAAAAAAAAAGAAAAAACTGCCACACTGTTTCACTCATCGGCTCTACGTGTCTTTGTTTTGTCGGAAGACAATGCTTCCAGTTTTTAATTTAACTCAGTTTGATTGGTTACCCGCTCATCTTCGGGAAATGCAATGACGCGCAACTATTTAAGGGGTGTTCTTCCTTTCCACAGCCTCTTCGGGCAGGCGTCTTCTTGCCCTTTCCCCGCCCCCCACTTCCACCGTTCACTCTGACTCCAAATCAAACATGGCTGGTCGGAAAAACGATCGCGAGCTTCTAACTTTAGCTCGCCCTAATAACACGCCTGCACTGCAGGCTAGACTCATTCTGATTCTTGATAACGTAAAGTTTCATCTTTAACAAAGGGCTTTACGAAACTTCATGAGATATATCTCCCAAAAATTTCCGTTTATAACAAGACAGCGTCGACTAATAAATTTTCTAGATTTTAGTTAGAAGCCATCGATGAGTCTGAAAGTTAAACAGCCTTTAAATAGTTGCAAGAGAAAAAACGAATAGTGTTGTCGTACACTGTTTGTTATTTGCATGTTATTTCTAATTGAAACTCAAATAACCTCCTCGTTTACCAGCTGTTCGGAATCATCTTACGTCTGACGCGTTTTCTGTGAATAATGATAATGAACTTCGGAATAATGATTTCAGGATTGAAAGCGTTTCAATAGTATAGAGCACAGTTATTTCTACATATATTTTGAGGTATTTGTTTATTTCATTACTTTGTACTCGCTTCATTGCGAAACATATGGTGTTCACCGGTTCGGAAAACAAGTTCTGAATATTTGAAAACGCGGCATTATTCATGTATTTTTCTGACATTTTCCGACAAGAGGATCCAAATTTTTCCCGTTGTTTTCGAGTCGGCGAATTGAAGTATTCGTTCCATTATCCAACAGTTTTCTTTGACAGTTAATTCTACGAAAACTATTGTTTTCCTGGTGTTAAGAATACGGTGTCAGATGGGAAAATGGTTTGTATTCGTTGCTTACTGGTGTTTTCCAGTAACTAAAGATTGCTTTGAAAGAAGTTTTCCATCGAAGACAGAGGGTTTCCTTCCATTTTCTAGGAGAGAAAATGCGTAGAAAACGCTTGAGAACAACGTGTCTTCCAACGTTCACGAGTTGGTCAACGTAAAGAAATGCGATGTTTTCTGGCGTTTTTCACCTGCTTGCGTTGAGAAAACGCCTCGATATCGGCGATTCACCTTGTGCGGTTATTCCCACGCAATTTCAAGTGGTTGCCGCTCGATTATCGTGCGAAAAATGGTATTTATTCCTACACCATTAACCATTTGGACATCTATAGATATGTTTATTATACGTATGTGTTTTGGTGAAGCCCTTTTTTCTTTGATGAAAAAAAAAAAACAAAGAAAACAGCCACGTGGCATTTCGGTGGCGTGCAAACCATTGAGTGCAGTTGTTTGTTGTTTCAAAGTATCGTTTACAATCAAATGGAAGAAAAGTTGTCAAACAAATAACCAGCACCTATACTCAAGGATTTTCGTTCGCAAAATATAGATTGTACTAAATATCGGCTCATATTTGTGACCGCAGAGGAGATTTTGTCGAAGACATTTCTTTTCTAGCTCAAAAACAAAACTCTCCTCTTTTCTAGCTCAAAAACAAAACTCTCCCTCCGTTTCACTCATCTGCTCTACGTGTCTTTGTTTTTGTCGGAAGACCGTGCTTCCGGTTTTTAATTTAACTCAGTTTGATTGGTTACCCGCTCATCTTCGGGAAATGCAGTGACGCGCAACTAATCAAGGGGTGTTCTTCCTTTCCACAGCCTCTTCGGGCAGGTGTCTTCTTGCCATTTCCCCGCCCCCTACTTCCACCGTTCACTCTGACTCCAAATCAAACATGGCTGGTCGGAAAAACGATCGCGAGCTTATAACGTTAGCTCGCCCTAATAAAATGCCTGCACTGCAGGCTAGACTCATTCTGATTCTTGATAACGTAGCGTTTCATCTTTAACAAAGGGCTTTACGAAACTTCATGAGATATATCTCCCAAAAATTTCCGTTTATGACAAGACAGCGTCGACTAATAAATTTTCTAGATTTTAGTTAAAAAACCATCGATGAGTCTGAAAGTTAAACAGCCTTTAAATAGTTGCAAGAGAAAAGGTTAAAAACGGATAGTGTTGTCGTACACCATTTGTTATATGCATGTCATTTCTAATTCAAACTTAAATTACCTCCTCGTTTACCAACTGTTCGGAATCATCTTACGTCTGACGCGTTTTCCGTGAATAATGATGATGAACTTCGGAATGATGATTTCAGGATTGAAAGCATTTCAATAGTATAGAGCACAGTTATTTCTACATATATTTTGAAGTATTTGTTATTTCATTACTTTGTACGCACTTCATTGCGAAACATATGGTGTTCACCGGTTCGGAAAACAAGTTCTGAATATTTGAAACGCAACATTATTTATGCATTTTTCTGACTTTTTCCGACAAGAAAATCAACGTTTTCCCGTTGCTTTCGAGTCGGCGAATTGGAGTATTTGTTCCATTATCCAACAGTTTTCCTTGACAGTTAGCTCTACGAAAACTATTGTTTTCCTGGTGTTAAGAATACGGTGTCAGGTGGGAAAATGGTTTGAATTCGTTGCTTCCTGGTGTTTTCCAGTAGCAAAAGATTGCTTTGAAAGAAGTTTTCCGTCGAAGATAGAGCGTTTCCTTCCATTTTTCTAGGACAGAAAATGCGCAGAAAACGCTTGAAAACAACGGTCTTCCAACGTTCACGGGTTGGTGAACGTAAAGAAATAAAATGTTTACTGGCGTTTTTTAGATGTTTGCGTAAATAAAACGCGTTGTTATCGGTGATTCACCATCCGAATGGCATTTTCGTATTTGCCGTTCGATTATCGTGCGCAATATGGTATGTATTCCTATATTCATCGTTATTTTACACTGTTAACCATTTGAACATCTACATATATAGAAAAGTTCTTTTTCCCTTTTGTTGTATGATCATAGACGATGAGAAAAAAAAACCATAACGAAACTCGTTAATCTATCGGCTATCCTCTTCCCAACTTAAAACGATCAGCAATTACTTAAGGAAATCCTGATAAGTATCGGTTCCTTAAAACGAATGCATTATAAAGTATAACATAAATGGGCTTGTTCATGTTCGAATATTGACTTATATTATGGCGTTGATCATCTTTCAGTAACATATTTCTCTGCAGAGCCCGTGCTATCTGTTGCGATCACAACAAAACTTCAAGTGTGCAAGCAAGGGAGGTTTTCCAGTAATACATTTCTTCGGCAAATTTTACCATGCATGTTGCATGACTGGCGCTATGTCTCTTCTTTTGTTCCGATTTACGGCCTGCCAGCAGCCAAAAGCCCCGAATTGATTCAATCGATCAATCGGAATTAGTGCGTAAAGACCGTGATATCAGGCAACATCGTCAAGTTCGCCAAACGCTTTTTATCCTTACAGAAGTTGGCAACCTAATTTCTAATATTTTTGTTGATATTGTTATCTGGAGTTGGACTCTCCTAAAATTAACGAAAACCTGTCCCAAATTCAGAATTTTTGTGACCTATTTTGAATTGCCAATGCGATCCCGTTATGTAGCAGAATTTAAGCGTAAGAAAAAGAAGAAGTAGTGACTGTTAAATAATTTCTTGGCTTTGCCAACGCCAGCTGAAAGCACATTTATTTGCCTGGCTCTGAATATTTCCCATAATAATTATTAATCATACTGCACTATGTTTACTGATTCCCTTTTGAATATCTTTCATTAAAAGTCAACTTTCCCAATTTCTTAGTCGATCATCGAAACGCGTTCGTCTTTTCAAATTTCTATGCAGCCCTTCGACAGACTTCATCAATTGTGTTGATAGTCCGCCCCCGCTCTCTCCCCCACAAATAACTGTACAATAACATCAATCTGGGGTCAAAGCCCAGGACTCAAAATATTCTGCGGCGTTAGAAAAAAAATTACATTGACGCGGTGTTTTTGTTCATAATGGGGACTTATTTATAATCCTGGCATAGCCATACTTACAGATTTTGTAGAACACGTTAATAAGCCATTATTGCCGTTATGTTCCTCGACACACAAAAGCGGGGTCGAAGAAAAACCATACTTTATCAAAAGATCTCACATAAAAAGAGCTGATGAAGGATTCTTTTAAAAATTATTATTTTCTGGCTCAAAATTTTGATAATCAGGCCCTTAAACTGCACCTGCCACAATTACAAATTTTGTTGGTCTGGAGATTCACAGTATAGTTTTTTTTCACCACGTGTCAGTTTGGGAAAAAGAGATCTACTGGTAAACTGAAAACGTAAAGTATTTTTCAAAAAGCCTTCTTGATGACACAGACCCTGAGAATCAGTAACTTTGATTCTACTACCCCGAACTTACACTTACACTTGTTAATTTAATGGGCGGTTTTCGGAAATTGAGAAAAAAAAGCGTTTAGTGAGGGTAGCTGGCTATTGCCAGGAGAGCATATCGCTACCTCAATGAGAACTCTAGAACTTTTTGTCTATAAAAAACTTCTTCGAGTCCTTTGAGAAGGTCAAAATCATATTTTCGTTCCATTCTTTTCAAGTGCATTATGTCTTCTTCGTGAGTATTCTCATGTAAGTGTAATGGAAATCACATTGACATATGGTCTTGCATTGCACCCATGCAGTATAAAACAGCAAGCTTACAAACAGATAACATATTGTTCTGACTTTTGCATCTGTGGTTTTTTTGTTTATTTGTTTGTTTTTTTTGGTTAGATCTGAACACAACTTGAAGTCTGGTAGCCTCAGGGGAGGTTTCTAACATATATCATATCTTGGCGGTGTTAACGATGCATGTTGCAACTCTGAGATTGGTCCTATGTCTAATGGTTTGCTGCGATTTATGGCTTGCCAGCAGCCAAAAGCTCCAACTTGATTCAATCGATCAATCGGAATTAGTGCGCAAAGCCCGTGAAATCAGGCAACATCGTCAAGTTCGCCAAACGCGTCAACTTCGTCAGGAACAAGATAAAGAAACGAAATGCAAATTCAAATTTGCCTTGCTAGATTTTCCTCCTTACATTATGAACCAAAGTATTAACCGAGGATTTATGTATGAAATCCTAACATCGTTTTTGGTCACAACTTGCTTTGATAGAGAAGCAACAGACCCCATAGCTTGCAAAATGGTACCAGTATTTGTTCAAAATCAAGACGAGATGGTGAAATTGATTAAAAATGGGTCGGTTGATTTTGGTTTTCCAATTCTATCGGATGCAAAACAAAAACTTGCCGTTCTAGACAGTGTGACACTCATCCGGGCATTTGCATCAGCCGGGTGTTCAATAATTGTGAACTTAAAGCAGTGCAAAGCAGAGTCACGGGAACAGTTATTTACTTCCATTACGTCACAATGGCCAATATTGGCTTATATCATATTGCTGTCAGGGATATCTGGAGTGATCATTTGGCTCTTGGTAAGAGTTAAGGCTTATCATCGTCAATCTATACTCAGCTTCTGAAGCTCTTTAGTTTTAATTCTACGTAAGGTTAGATTCAAACTTAATTGTCACGGCTCTAGCATGAAAATAGTTCAAATAGGAATCGACAGCACCATTTTTGAGTAAACTGTTAGCTAGGCGCACCCTATCACTTCACCGAAATAAAAAGCCAGACTAAAAAAAAAGGACCTCACAGTAAATAAAAAGAAAACTGTAATGCCCTACAAGTCATGAATCTACAAATAATGTTTGTTTGTTTGTAGATGAAAAAAGACCATTGCAATTACGCAAACTATCAAATAAGGACATTTTATACCAAGTTGCCAAAATTTCGGATACAGTAAAACTGCTGCAAACTTTGCGTGTTGTAGCAGGGCCTTAAGTAAGCTGGAAGTGTTTTCTAAACAATGTATTTACTCCACACTAAACGTCATCATAATATTAGTTTTTTTGTGCATAATATTAATTCATTAAACAGTTATACTGATTTTCATGACAGGAACACCGTTCAAACGCGTCTCAGTTTTCACCCTTGTTCACGAAAGGATCACCAGAAGGCTTTTGGTGGGCAGTGGAATCACTTACAACAGTAGGGTAAGTTGATTTAGATTTGGGTATTGGTGGGATTTTTTTTTCATAGCGTCCTTTGAATGTAACCAAAAATGCGCAAAATTGTAAAACCCATTTCTTTGTCGAAATTAATACATGTGTCGGGTTTATCAAAATCTTCATCACACCAGGGTTCCATTCTTCAATTGGCTTCCAGTCTTACAAATAACTAGTTGTTACGTGGTATCGGGGTCCTCTCGTTTACAGTTCTTCACAGCTTATAAAGCAAAATGAATAGTAGCAATGAAAAGAAAAAGAATTTTCCATTGCATATCTTAAAATCATGATTCAGTTTTTTATCTATTTATTTTTTTACATACATACATTTCCAGTACACCTGAACCGCTACGATTCGTCTACGGTCGTAGACGAATCGACACACCGGAAGTCAAATCGTGCGTTAACATACCAGAAGTAGAGGTTGGTAAGCAATTTTTGAAAATGATTAGTATAGCATACCGGAAGTCGAATCGTGTGTTAACATACCGAAAGTCGAGGGGCGTAAGCAATGAGTGAAAATGGGTAGCATGAAAAGAGAAAATGACAACGTGAACCTTCCACGTTCTTAAAGCGTGAAACAGCTACGATTTGACCACGGTCGTTGAAGAATCTACACACCGGAAGTATGACGGTTCGACATCAACTGTGACGAGTCGTTCGATTCGAGTCGATTCGACAACATCTCCAACCCACCTTCGTAGTTACTCGCGGAATATTTTCTAAGTGTCTTGCAAATCGACTTCCGGTATGACGGGTCGACATCAGCTGCGACTAGTCGTACGATTCGACAAAATCTGCAACCCCCTTTCGTGGCCACTTGCGGAATATTTTCTAAGTGTCTTGCAAATCGACTTCTGGTGTGACGGGTCGACTTTAACTTAGACGAGTCGTTCAATTCGACAACATTTTCAACAACCCTTGACAGTTACTTATGAAATATTTCCTAAGTGATTTGCAAATCGACTTCCAGTTTCCATCTAATGAGAGATGGTTTATCAGATTTCCGGTATAACGAGACGCATTAACCGCATTAACCAGTAGAACGATTCGCAAACTGCCTTGACGAATTGTAGCGGTTTGGGTGTATTGGACAACCCTCTTCCTATACTTTCTACACTATCCTCAAAGCGCGAAGATATTTGGTTCCTTTTTCTCATTAGGTACGGTGATAAGACGCCTAAAACCTTCTGTGGACGTTCATTTGGTATAATATGGATTCTGATAGGAGCAATAATGTTGTCGCTGTTCACCGCCTTATTTACAAATGCTATCCAAGCTTCCCTGGATGGTACGAGATGTAGGGACATCGGTGGCAAAAAGGTTATTAACCCTAACATGAACACCTAAAACCCTTTGCACCCTAACATCATTATGTTTCTTCTCTATGGTTTCCTCTATACATTTCTTAAGGTGCTGGAAAAAAGATTTTTTTTTAACAATCAAGAGCTTCTTTGATTGGTAATCATTTCTTTTATTCTCGTGACCCTAATGTTTGATTCAGGTGTGATATTGTAAGGAGATATCAATTAATTATTTTCTTGGTTTCAAATTAGATTCCCTACATTATTCAATTTATCCTAAACGAAGCGTCGAAAGGCCTTTCCCTGTAAAAGTTATTTTACCAATAAATGGATCCTACCCTCATTGATCGAACTCAGGAACAGCTAAAATGCAACTCGGCCCTGTGACTCAAACCTTTGAGTCACAGGGCTGAGTTGTTAAAAGCAGGGTTCAGATAACTCAGCAGTAATGTGAAATCTTATTTAAGATCTGAAAGCTGTAAAGAAAGGTTGTTACGATTTGTCCGCACTTATTAAATGCTCTTAGGAAAAAAAAATAGAGAAAATTATTCGAAAGAGGTTGCTGAACAAAGGTGTAAAGAAACCCGCATGAAATTAACCCCGGATTAGCGCTACTCAGACTTCGAATAGCTAAGCTAGGAATTATGAGCTACCTGAGTCCGAGTTAGCAAGTTGTATGGAAGAATGAAATTAGCATTAAACAATTTTAATTGATTGTCGAAGTGGAAAATTGCTCTGGTTTTGTACAACTTCGGATATTGTTGGCCCTTTTAACAACAATGCCTTCCCTGTTCCTATTATTTAGGGTGGGTCTTTCCGGAACTACAACTTAAGTGTACTTTCGTTGTACAGGTTTTTCATATTCTTTGCAAGAGGAAAGTACTTATCATCTGGCAATAAGCCTTCATAGATTGTGCTAGTAAAAGTAGCATATTATGCTAGTGGTATTACTCGATCATTTTTCAAATGGTGCTCAAAATTAAACTCGTTTTTGAAAATTATGCTACTTTTTATTTAAGTGCGCTTTACAAAAAAAGAAAAAAGAAACAAACGAAGTCTAAAGTATATATTTGTTGTCAATTAAACATGAAATCTTCTTCATTTTGAGATACATACTTGCTCTGACAAAATATAATTAACCATTGGATTCCAGACGAGAAGCAGTGACTTGACGAGTCAAAATGTAAGTTTCTCTTCGGCGCTATTTTGTCTGTACTACGGGTATGCCCAGTCCTTTAGACAACAAACGATTCTATACTGCGGTAACCCTCTTCTTCCAAGACATTGAAAACCTGAAAATAGACATGAACCATGGACCGAAAATTATTCTTGCGCAATCTATAAGGGCCCAACTGGCACATAAAAATTTGTCTGACCCCAATTTACTTGTTAGGTGGGTGTGTCCAACAAGAATCCTGAAACGCATATAGTCGCTATGGAGCTGGACGCAGACTTTGTCAGTAAGTAATTCTTTTCAGGTTATTTCAATGTTCTTGTATAACGTGTTGCATGCCCATTGTTCTTCAGGAAAGGCTACGAAAGTAAAGAAATAAGCTTAAAAATGACCTTCTAATTTCAGTCATATTTCATATATTTTTGTATCAAAACTCTAAGGAGAAGTTTCTCCACCGCTTTTTCTTATTTTATTCATGTAAGAATTTGCGTTGGCGACCAAATCAAATAAATTTTTAATTAACAGAGTTCAACAACCTGGATGAAATGCAAGAAAGTCTTAGCCAAGGAACAATTGGAAGAGTAATGCTGGATCGCAACACTGCATTTCACTTTTTGGATAAATCTGGTTTAAAACGAAACAGACAGATCCGAATGATTCGTAACATCGATTATCCAATGGAATATTACCTGGCTCACGTGAGCCATGACGTAATGGCGTCACCGAATGACACGAACGATTCTGATGACGAAGTATTGGCTAGAAAAACTGAGCTTTCGGTTTGCGGGGAAAGCCTGAAAGGGTTATCAACGGATATGGTTGGAGTTGCAAAAGACGCTGCCAAAGTGCAACTTATTCCTGCCGAATTAGAGGTAGTTAATTGTTTTTTGTGAATTTTCTATATTTCACCACGCACCATTCTTCTCTTCATGTTTAGCATTTATTTTGATGCAATCAGCAGTTTGAAAATTATTTGTTTCTTTTTAGACAGCGGATTTGTCCGATGAAATGGAAGGGTTATTCTCCACCGGCTCACAAATGACCAAATTTATATTATTAGCCTTATTGGGAATACTCACCTTCCTAATGATCATCGGCAAACTTTGGGAAGTCTACACCAACTGTAAGCCAACTATACACAAGAAGAGAAAAGGTAACTACTTCTTAAATTAATTTAGCATAGGCACCTGCAGAGTAAATATAAAACAGATACCTTTTGAAGAAAACTGTTCTATCTTAATTAATATAAATCGTGGTATTGGTGTAATTCTATATTCTTAAATTCAGATGGCAATCAAAGGCAATGGGACAGTCACTCGTCCTTCAGTTGGTCAGTCTGTCAGTTAGTTAGTCAGGCAGTCAGTCAGTCAGTTAGTCAGTCAGTCAGTCTGTCTGTCTGTCTGTCAGTCAGTCAGTCAGTCAGTTAGTCAGTCAGTCTGTCTGTCAGTCAACCAGACTAAATAGTGGTATTGGTGTAATTCTATATTTTTAAATTTAGATGGTAATCAAAGACAATGAGACAGTCACTCGACTTTCATTTGGTCAGTCTGTCAGTTAGTTAGTCAGGCAGTCGGTCGGTCGGTCAGTCATCCAATCAGCCAGTGAGATTTTAATCAGAAATGTGGAAACCTTCGTTACATTAAACAGTTCAATACTTATAAGAAGGTCGGTCTGTCAGTCAAATAATAAGTAATTATGTAAGTCCGTTTTTCAGTGAGAAAATGGTCATTAATTCAAACGATTAATGACCGAATCAAATATCGACTATTTGTGTACTGACAATCGGGAAGACAAAAGTAATATGTTCAGGGATTAATTTAGTGGTTCATTTCTTTAAATGTCCTCTACAATCCTTCTTCTAGGACTGATTCTTAGCAGCAGGAAGATGTCAATGATGCAAAACTTCCTGGATTTCAAGGAACGACTAAAAGACATAACGTCTGATCTACAAAAGTTAAAAGAGGAATTTGAAGATGCCGCGAACGATTTGTCTCGTGAATACTCAAAACCAAAAGAACGCTCATTTTCTATTAATATGCTTGATCTGAATGGAAAGAGTAAAAATACTGAAACAATAGTATAACACATAAAACATTTTGCCATTAGTAAACTCAGATGGCATTTTACTCTTCTGAGATTTCCATGACCAGTGGCATAATTTTAGCTTGAGCAAAAAAAAAAAGGTGAATGTGTCACACAGAATAGGACACGTAACTGACTTCTTGTTTAATATGAATTGTATTGAATTCTTTTCCTTCCTTTTTCCTATTTCCTTTTTAATTTCCTTACTTTCGGTATTGAGGCCAACAAACCAATACGTTATGTTCAGAGAAAGGTAGCAAGTGAACCAAGAGGTTTATAAATTTTCTCATTCCACTGCAATCAGTTTTAGCTGTCTATTGATGAAATATACAGACTCTGCCTCGTCCGTCCTAACGGATGAACGGAATCGAGCGTTAAGAGTGATTACTTCGGTATTTGCTTTTCAGTGCCTAACTTCTGGGTTTGTTTGTTTACACTCTATGGAATTAAATTTTCACAATTACTAGAAAAAGCAAGCTTTTGAGAATGGGTGGTGCAAATTGGAAGTATAAATGAAGAATTCCTTTCTTTATTAATTATTTAAGGAAGAACTTTCATAGAAGATATAGTATAACAATAATTGTTTCTTGACTTCTCTTCACTTCGTTAGATGAATGCAAGTGTAATTTCTGGCTGGTTACTTTCTCAGTTTCTTTCGCAAAAAGCATGAGATTTTATAACATTTCAGGAGGCTTTTGGAACCGTTAGCTTTTAAGATTATGGAGGGCAGATGAACGTGGTCACCACAGACTGTCGGTTAAAAGTTAATCGTTTCGAAACGTCCTTAATCCTTAAATCCTTACAATTTAATCAAAGTTTTTAGATATTGTATATAACCAATAGATATGTGTGCCTAAAGCATGCATAAGAAACACTGATTATAGGAGAATAACGGCCAGTCAAGGACCGTTATTCATTTACAGGTAATAAACTCCAATCCAGGTGATGTCTGTCTGAGAAATGCATTCCCTTCTGCACTTGAATCTTGCACCGTAGTCACTAGTTTTGTTTTTGTGTATCTATAAATATATTTTTAAATTCAGGCAAGAAGCCTTATACATGCTACAAGTAAAAGCTTAATGATGTTTACAACTTGTACAATAATTAATGGAATCTTTACTTTTAGCGATCAAGAAATATACTGATCGATGTATAGTTATAATTGCAGGTGAAAAAAAAAAAAAAAGCTTATTTAGACGTTAGATCACATAGTGTCCACAGCGATTTATTTTAGGGACCTTACTCGCACACTAGGTGATTGGTTCCCTTGACTATGACTTAGACTAGAAGTAAAAGATGACGAATCTTAAATCTTGGCCGAAAAATTAGTTACAAGAAGGAACGAAAAAAAAAGTCATAACTTTACCGTCTTGGCACCACCTTTAGTTTTAATTTAGTTTTACTTCCTTCGTGAAAATAACCGCGGTAGTAGAACATACTCACATATAATAGCTTCTACTACAGCATTAGAATGGAAAGGCTTATTATACACACCAGATTTTAAGTCTGATAAAAAAAAACGTATTGTACAAAATAGAATAGAAAACTGTGTCTTCACTATAAAATCTCTGCTTGATGGGTTACAATTATATTATCACCATTTTTAAAGGTATGAGGCTCTGCAGCGCGCCGTGCAAAGCAAGCTCCGCTATTACACAATTATCTAGTTGCAAAGTGAACTGAAAAATACAATAGTATGTATCGGTTAAACGAACAAAAATGGTAAAAAAATAGTAAATAAATGACGGGTTCGATTCATCAATTAAGAAAAAATCATTTAAGTAATGACATTTTTAAATAATATCAAGTGATCTTATGTAGACTAATTTACAATAACAAAACTAATAACTCTGCTCGTTGATTGGCCCTCAGAAAACTTCAGCTATCTTCTCAACCTAGCGGATGCAAAACTAATAACAATTTCATCTTGCTCATTCGCAATTTTCCTGCTCTTGAAGCAGTTTGCTTGTTTTCTCTTTGATGATAATGTAAACTGTTCTTTTGATTGGTCGCTTTGATAACTTTGGTTTTGTTTTTCAACTCTCAGAAGATAACTCCTCTATGATTTTGTTAGGGATACAGCAAAAATCCCCAGCCATACAATAATTTTACAAGATTAAAACTGGCCTTCCTTGGCTCCATATTTGAGCAAATTGACCCACCCAGCCGGAACTTATCCCGGTTTCACTTTAGCATAAAGAGGAGTATTACTGTCGTTCCCCCCCCCTCCCCAATGACTTGCCACTACATTGCAAGGTCCCCCCCTGCATTTCATCAGGCTTCCCTGACAATCTGCTGGTACTCGTTTATACTCCTAGGTGGAAAGAGGCATGGGAGAGAAAAGTGTCTTGCCCGAGAACACAACCCATTGACCCCGTCAGGTCTCGAACCCAGACCTCTCGATCCAGAGTCCAGTGCACTGACCATGCCTTAGGCCATTAGAAGACGTCTAAGGCGAAGTAAGGACAGAGTAGAAGTACAGAACAAATGAGCCGTCTGTTTCTTAAGCTGGCTTTACCTACCTTACCTATGACAATGATTGCAATTTGACCAACGACTATTTAAATTTTTCCTCTTTGCTGTAAAACTTCATTTTTTCAGGCCATGTCAGAGGTAACAAAGGCCTCTGATCTAAAAGAGGGATGACTGCAAGACCTTTGATTAGAGAATGATACATGTTAAATGAAACTTATTTTCATGAGACAGGTTTGCATCTTGCCTCACTTGAAAAAAACGGTTCTTAAAACCTACCAGACGTAAACGTCTGGTAGCTGTCAAAATGTGACAAATGACATAACGATGAATTCTCCCGTGCAGAATAACAGTAAAATACAATGGTATTATTCAGAATTGACAAACTCAGCTCATAGGAATGAGCTAAAATAAGATAAACCTATTTAAACGTTACAGTTTTTCGCCTTATTGCAGCAGTGTTTCATGAGGCGCTTTAGTAGACAAGCAAGCGACCGAATAGCTTGCAATATAGATGCCATCTTTGCGCAAAGTTAAGGTGAAATGTTAAATCTGATGAAAACCAAGCAAGTGGATTTCAATTTTCCCTTTCAAGCTAACCATAAGATAGATGATAATGGACTGCCTAATGTTACCCTGATCCCTGCATTTGTGTCATTTGGCAGTTCTCTCATAGCAAACTGTGAGGTAGAATCAGAGGAACAGCTGCTCTTACCTTGTTGAGCGGAAATTTTCAAAATAACGCCTTGAGGTCATTTTACTCGAGTAGATTAATTACCAGTTGTGAAATGTAAATAATTAAAATCACATCTATGTTCTAAAAACGAGTATGTTTTCCTTCTCTGAACAATTGCCTGTATCTCTTTTGAATGAAACTTTCAACTTTTTCAAGAAATTCTAGTACAGAATGACTGAATCATAATATTTCCCTTCTTGAATTATTGATCTTTACACAGCGCAAACCTGTCCGATGAAATGGAAAGGTTTTTTTCAACCGGCTCGAAAATGACCCTGTGGATGTTGATTTATCATCTGACGGTATTTCTCGGGCTGATGTTTCTCGGTATCTTATGTCAACTCTACACCAAGTGTTAGCTAGCCAAGGTGCATGCAATAACAGAAGGAATGATTATCATCTATATATAGGCTGATACTGAGTGACATAACTTTTTTTTTTCACCCAAACAAAGCAAACGCCTCGTCTAAATTGAAGGTTACTAAATTTTGCGACTGAATTGAGCAATTTGACATTGTCAGCAATCCTAGGTCTTCGATGGGAATGTCTTATTTCTTCATGAGCAAATGGATAAGTTTCAGTGACAAGAAAAATAAGTTTTTGTTGCCAAAACAGGTTTTAAAATTTTTTGCTTGTTAGCGGCAGGAAGCGGAAATTGAAAAGACCGCGATTTGTGAATTTTGAAGTATTTAATATCAACATCCTCAAGTTCATTTCAATCCGTTTAGTTTTTGATCCTCAATTCTTTTGTTTTTTCTTTGAGAGAATTGTGATCATGAGGTAACTTCTTTGGCAGCCCATTTAAGCTTGTGATCATTTATGCATGATTTAGATAAATTTGTGAGTGGCAAAAACATTTGAAGTATACGTGCATTTGTAGATT